ATTTGTTAACAAAATTTTTTTAAACATTTGTAAGACTAGAAATAAAGATTATCATTTAAAAATTAAGTCTGCAAGTATTAGAGAATTGCTGACATTTTAATGCTATAGTTTAAAGAGCTGATGAAGATGAAAAATAACAACAAAAACAAGTAAAACAGTAACAAAAGCAAATCATTTGAAGCCCTGTGTTTGAGTCTGTGAATTTTTTCAAATACAAAATAACTTTCAAAGTTTACTGAAACATTATGTAAATATTCTGCAATGATTTGGCTTGTGTTTTCTCTTTTCAAATTTTTGTGAGGACAAGGAAAAAAAGGAGAAACAACACAATCTAACACATCCTTTCCAATTCTATAATTTATGTTCCTATGAACTGGAAGGAGTTATGTACAGTTATTCAACAAGCAATCAATTTAATCTGTAAAAGAGGTGAAAAGGTGTTTCACATTTAGTATGTATTTTGGAATATAACCCACACAGATGACAGAGGACTACTGAATATTTTTGCTGGGCTTGTTCTTTTAGTGTACAATATACCATGTATGCAGGAATGGAAATTAATTTTATTCTCCAGGTACTCTGGGAAATGCACAGTGATTTTTAATTCAAACCATATTCCATGCATTTCAAAAAGAATTACAAAAAAAGGGTGTGTGTGTAGGGTTGTTTATGTGTAGCGTAATATTTTCTAAACCAGAGCACTGAAAAGACACTTCGTTGAAAGAAAGTTCTTTGTTTGAATAAATCAGGGAATCACCTGACCTTTCCTTGGAGATTGACATCCCATAAGCACAGTAAAAGATCTTAGTGTTTAACCCACTGTTTCCTGAACTTATTTGACTGTAGAACTCTCTTATGCTCATATCATGGAACACTGGTCACACTCTCTGGGAATACTATGTAAGGAAAAAGCTTGAAAGAATGAGATACTATTATACTCTGTTATAAAATTCCCTCCTAACTTCCCTTTCCAAATAATGACAAGGTTGGTAAATTTTTTTGTGCAGGACTGGCTCTGGATTCTTTATTTGGGTTTGAACTTGGGATGCCTAGAAGAGAGGAAAATGGAGAATAAGGGGAAAGTCATTAAAACAAACATTGTACCCTCTCTCACATATACAAATGTGGTTCAATTTTTAATGTGCAATCATTGAAAGGAAACCTTCCTTTCCAACATTTATATAATAATTGCATCTTACTTTTCTTGGGTATTAATCTTTTTTACTTAAACATTTGAACCTATGTAGTGTATCTTATGTTATTTCTAGTGACTTTGGAGGTTGGACAAATATGTAATAATAGGATTGAGAAAATGTGCCTCCCCATAATTCTAGGGAGGCCAGTGAAGGCAGACTGTCCAGCTGTGGCTGCTTCTAGGAGGACCTACTGGGGTGTAGGCTCTGTGTAGCCAGGAGAGTCAGTCCCCCTTGGGAGAGGCAGTGAGGCTTGAGTGCACCGTGGCAGAGAATGCTGCCATGCAGCCTACAGCGTACGAGCCCCTCCAAGACCCTGTCAGGAAAATAAGCACACTTAGGAGAGGCCAGGCTAAAGTAAAGTAGTTTCTTCAAGCTTGGAAAGAGAAACCTAGCTGGCAAAGATGACAAAAGAGACAAAGTAGACCACAAGGGGGTTAGGTTGGGAATTCATTGATATGATTCACATCCTGATTCTTACAAATTATGGAATTAAAACTTGGAGCTAAATTTACCAGAGATCCATGGCACAGTGAAGCCCATACATGACATCTCAGTTACAGGTGATTTAAGCATTATCAGTTTATACAAAAAAAGAAATAGATTAGATCATAGCTTTGCTTCTGGCATGAATGGACCAAAGCTATGAAGGAGTTGGAGTAATTTTGCTAAAAGCAGGTGCTCGATGCTTGGATAATACTTTAGTAGTCAATATGAATGAATGGAAAAGTGCTGATTGTCTGCATCTATTGCAAAAAGGCTTAGTAGGAAGGAGAGTGGCAGAAAGACATTTGAGATTCAGTGTCAGTTACATTCATGCCAGCAGTTACTGTATGTGGTAAAAATGCACAGATTTTATGCACAATAGTGTCCCTTTTTTTTAGTTATGTTAACCCTCCTTTTAGCATTGTCATTCTACTAACGGTGGAGAAAAAATAGGCAGCTGGATATACAGTGAATCACTAAGTTGTTTATTTCAAACAAAATAATATTATATGTAAACTATATTTCAATTTAAAAATTATATACATTAAAAAAAAACAGGCAGCTGGTTTTAAGCCCTGTATTTATGGAGAGTGAGCTGATAGTAGTTATTTGCACATGGTGGAAGTAATCAGGAGGCCTGTGGGAAGCTCGTTTGTTCTTGTTAAAATTTGTACCCAAGGAAACTTGAGAGAATGCAATTCTGGCTGGTTCTTAAATACCTTTTACCCTTTCATTAGGAGATGGTGGTTTAAAAAATATATTAAAAATTAGATATCCAGGTCTCTATTTGAAAAGCAAAAGAATATAGATGTTTATGTAAAGAATAAAGTAAAAACCAATTGAAGAAATGTTTGAGATTTCCTTTATTTTTAAGATTGAGTGCTTTTTTGTTTCTCCTCCACTTTTGGAGATCTGGATTCTAGGTAATTAAATAGCTTTTTGGAAACTTGATTTGGGTATGTAAATCCCCTCTTATCTCTGAAAGTTCTTGCCAAAATGTTAAAGTGTGTCACAGCATAGTCACCACCAGCCACCATTTCTTGTTGGTGACAATGCCCACATGTTCTGCCACACTCAGTGTGTCGGTGGTTGAAAGGCACGGGGAGATGGGGCACAGACGCTGAGCACCATGTGAGTAGGAGTCATCCTGTCCTGTACTCCTAATTATTTATCCTGATGCACTGCAATCACAAGCAAAATTATTTTTAAATGACCTGTGCCTTATGTTTTTGGATAATCTAATGATCTTAAAAACATCCATCTGTTATATACAAAACTTTTCATATTGGCTGCCTTGGGGGAGGGGATTTGGGGACAGTGGTGGAAGGGAGATTTAGTCATCATTGTCCATACAGTTTGGTAACTTTTGGTGTTTATACCATGTGTATATATTATATATTAAAAAAAGAAAAGTGAAAAAAAAAAGTTTCCCTCTAAGAATTCCCCTCTCCTGACAGGAGCTTGGTTGCCCACCCTGCCCTTAAGGATCTTCTGTGATTTCCCCTAAACCCTCATCCCCTACCTCCCCCAAGTTTCTACTGTTCCCGAGGGAAACACTTCCTCTGTTCAGCAACTTTTCTTCCGAGTCTCTGATTTCGTCATCCCTGCCCGTTTCATGCAAGTCACTGAAGATTTCTTACCTCCAAGTGCAGTTACCTCCTTTCAAAGTCTTTTGACCTTTTTTTTTTGTTGTTGTCATTAACCTACAATTACATGAAGAACATTGTGTTTACTAGGGTCCCCGCTTCATCAAGTCCCCCCCACAAACCCCATTACAGTCACTGTCCGTCAGCGTAGTAAGATATTGTAGAATCACTACCTTTTGGCCTTTTTAGGTCACTGGAGACTTGTGCTGTCCTCTTTTCCTCTCTGACACAACTGCTTCCTGGCCTGTTTTGATCTCTCACTCCACCTTCATGAGCATCTTGACTGTGATCCCACCTTTATCCATTTGTGCTGCCTCCCTGAGCAGTCTCTGTTCCACTCGGGTGAAATCATCTGTGCCCACTGATAGGACCTCTCTCCTCAGCCCTACACTGGCTTGTTTAGTTTCCAATTCCATGGGTACCACAAAATCAAAATAGTCTGAACTTGTTGTCCATTATACTTAAATTATATGTAATTTTATTTTCTCTATGGATTTTGTGCATATACAATATCAAAATACCCATAGCTTGTCATCCAATCCCCACTTTTTCCGACTTGCTGTATTTTATTACTTAGCAGCACCCACGCCAGAACCCTGGCATTTGTCCTTAGTTCCTTCTTTTGCTTCACCAGGTTTTGGGATTACAGGTGGCCTTGCTGTAACGTGCATGTATTGGCTCTGTTTTCATCACACCCTTTCATTTTATAAATAAATTCCTAAATCGGGCAGCCTTATTCCAGGTAAACTTTGGAGAAATTTCATGTATACAAATGTTCTGTCCTTGTTGAAAGTTGAGGTGGGGAGGGAGAATCATTTCAATTACTCCTCTGCATTGACAGTTTTGTGTTTAGAAATCTATAGTTACCTCATTCCAGGGGCATTTCTGCATTTGGTTTTTATTTGAAACTAAGTTTCAACTATATAACATCACAGAGTTTATGGTGTATTATTTTAGTACTTGTGTTATATTTTGCTTGGTTTACTATCCAGTCAATTGAAAAATGAAAAGTATCTTCTGCACAATTAGAATTACCTTTCATATTGCCTTTGTTTCTTATGCACCAAATGTAGATAATTAAGTAATTACTAGATTAAAGGAGCAGTTATGTTTGTTGTATTCCTATTGTATGATACTTTACATCCCTCATACTGTTTAATTTAATTCACCCAATAACTTCACGTAGAATGGAGAAACTCAGAATCAGAGGCATTACTTAAATTGCCCAGGTCGCTCCTCCCCGTGGCCCTTCTTGGGATTCTTTAGACATCTGTTTAAGGTGTGGCTTGTACATTGCTGAAAGTAATACAGTTAAGAGCTAGATTTATGGGCATCTCCTTTTTATTGAGAGTTGATTTCCACATTGTCAGTATTTTTTCTGTTTGGTGCCCGTTTATAAGAGAGGAGCTGGCAGAACTTCTGGGCCATCACCCCTGTTATGCACGGTCACAGGGTGATGGAGAAGCAGGTACTAAAGGTGATGGCACTGAGATCGACGTGGAGCTTTGGTCACTGAAGGTAGTTTAAGGCGAATTAGTTACCGAGAGATACTTATTTTTTATTTTATATGTTAACAATAATTTCTCTTCGTACTTGAATCTTTAGTACCTAGAGGGTGGCTGTCATCTGAAGAATGTTATGGTCAGTAATTCATATTTTTCTCTCTCTCTCTCAGTGCAATGAAACCTCATTCTTTTTTGAAGCTCGAAGTAAAACTGCTTGCAAGCATCTTTGGAAGTGTAGTGTAGAACATCATACGTTTTTTAGGTATGTTAATGTGAGAGTTTTGTTTGTTGTCCTAATAAATGAAAATTACATTTGTTTTTATAGTAACAATTCTGTTCTGTCTACAAGTAGAAACTTAGAAGTGTTTCTCTTGTTTTGTTTTGTTTCTTCAGTCATCTAATTCTCTGGATCATATTCATAGAAACATACACATACACACAAACACATACACATAAACATCTTCTTTGCTCATACTATAAGAAAGGGTGAAGGACAGCTTTTTCTTAGGTTTATGCAAAAAGTACAGCTTTGTTCTTGGTGGAAATTAAATGTTCTGCTGTGGACATACACACTGAATTTACACTGCCTGTTTGCCATCTGAGTGGAGGTGTGGCATAGGTAGTTGGGTGTACAAGGCTTACTGGAAAGACCAATGTTGACCATGTAAATTTAGTGGGTATTTAAGACAAAGGGGACTGGGTGAGGTCACTGATGGAAAATGTGAAGAGCGAGAAGCAGAAAGCCAAGGACTGAGCTAGGCCTTCCCAGCATTTAGGTAACAGGAAGAGCCAGAGAGAAGTAGAAGAAGGAATCAGTAGAGTGTGTGGGAAAGGAGGAAACGAGGGAGGAAAATGTCATTGTTAATAAGGAGCTGGCAGCTGCACTGTGCATTCATGGGAGGTCAAGTGAGAGGAGGTAGAGAATTGAACATTGGATTGTGGGATGCTTTTTGTTTCATATCCTTCTGGTGTACAGATAAAAGTAAATTTTATCAAGTAATATAGTAAGTTTCATTTTTTTAAAATTTAAAACTAGATTATCTCTTCTCATTATTCCTATTTGATTTGCAAGGAGCAATTTCCCCAAGTAGTATGATGTTGGAGAAATAGTCTTATAAAATGACCAATGTCGTTTACTGAGTTTGGATTAGGAGGTGGGATGTGGCCCAGAAAGTCTGAGACATTGCCTCCGGTTCAGTGAGGCTGGGCCTAGGAGTTCCCCTGGGAGGTCTGTTGAAGGTATCCTGGAGTGGAAGTACTGGAGTTTATTGTACAAAGAGGAGTGACCCACCACAGCAGATATGATTGACTGCCATGAAAACTCTGGCATGGATGAGTCAATGGAGTGACAATGATTTGTCAAAATTTCCAAAATGATTTTAGTAGAGAAAGTAAGTTGATTCACAACTAAAGCTTCTAAGGGATATGATGTATATAACAGTTTTCAGCAAGTATGGGTATTTTGATATTATACATATAAAATCCTAGGATGTGGCTGTTTCAAATATTAGCTTAAAATAACTATTTCCTGCAATACATAGAATAAATAAAATATTTCCACTCACTGTTAAAAAATGCTGCACCATTTTCTACATAGCTTTTGCTCAGGTGTTGCATAAACATCTATATTTATGAGTCTTTAATTTTCTTTAAAAAAATGCATTAGAATGCCAGAAAATGAATCGAATTCATTGTCAAGAAAACTCAGCAAGTTTGGATCCATGAGTTACAAGCACCGCTATAGGTAAATGGCAGTTTTTTCCTTTGGTGTGTGTGCGTGTAAATAAATATTTAATTCAGCTATCTACATAAGTGCATGTAAAGTTTGTGATTTAATGTTTTTTTCTGATTTTTCCACAGTGCCAATGACTTTCAAATTATAGCAGTTCATTAAAACTTTCTTGACAAAGATGATTTTCCATGTTTAATTATATTTAATGCTGCATTAGTTACGTTAGGTTTAGGGCTTTTACAATATGGTATAGTTTATTCTCTCAAGAAATTCATCTTGATAAGATTATATTTATTTCTAATTATGTTGTGATTATGAAACAAAATAGCTATTCTGAATAGTCTGTTCTTAGGACATTCAGTTGATTCCACTATTATAACAAAATGTGTGCTTTATATTGTGGATCAAATCATGTTTCCTGCCACATGAAGCCTATATATAGTAATGCTAGCAATTGTATCTAAGATTTACTAAGCAGTTATTAAGTGCCAAGTTTGTGCTAAATGTTTTCCATTTATTGCTTCTTTTAATCATTGTATTCTTCTTAATGTTATCCTTATTAATATGTGAGGAAACTAAGGCTCAGAGAAGCCAAGTCACTTTTCAAGGTAACCCAGCTAGACAGCAGTAAAGTGGCTTCCACACCAACATTCTATCTCCAGAGCCTGTGCTTTAAATTAGACAAACTCTTAGCATGTTGTAGGGAAAGCATGATTGTAGTGCAGCCAGGCAGGTGCTTTTGTGTCTTTCTAATGCCAGCATTAAAATTGGAAGCCTGCTATGTTTTGAAAAAGAATTAGTTTTGTTTTAATTTGTTCTGTAAAGTGGAGAGCCTATGGTGTGCAAGGCATGGTGTTGGGCGCCCAGAGATAGAGAGTCAGATCTAGCCTCCTCTGCCTTCAGAGAGCTACAGTGTTATGCAGGCAGGAGGAAAGTCCCTCCACCCTTTAAAACCAAGCAGGGTGCAGAAATGCCACTCAGGAGGTGTGACACTGTTCTGTCAGTTGCTTTAGGACATCACTGAGTGAAATCCTTACCTAGGAGACCTAAAATGAAGCTGAGTCAAGTGTTTGCCTAATTTTAATTCCTCTTTTATAACCTACTTTTTTTTTTTGTCTTGAATTTGAAGCCAGGGATAATCAGTAAAAGAGTGATTAATATTAAATGTTCAGTGCTTTAATCTTTGCATATTATTCACTTGGCTATTTGCTCATTTGATAACTTAAAATACAACTTAATGGTTAATATAGATTTTCTTGGCATTTGTATGAGGTTATTCATTGATACCTAAAAATTTAACCTTTTGGTTACCAAGGTTCTTCCCCAGACAGTGAAATAATTATTAGGAATTTAAGGAAAGAATGAGAACAGCTAATAGTCAGTATTTGAGCTGTTCTTCCAGTTTGGGCATAAAATATTTTGAGGGTTATAGAGAGAATGTATAAATCTATCTCTTAGTGAAAAGCCATCTGTCTTAATGTTCATACTATTAAAATTGTAATTATGCTGTATAACATATGCTGTAGTTGGTTTCCACAAATTTACCCATACCTGACTTCTCAAATTTATTGAAATGCAAATGCTCTGGCCATTGGGAATTATTCAAAAGTTATTGGATTTTGCATATTAAATATCATTTCTTCCACAAAAATAATTAAATGTAACCTTTGCCAGAATTCGAAGCTGTGCTAAATCTGTTCTAATTTTGTGACTGGTGTTAACTGCCTTGTAAGTCTTAATGAAACCCGAATCTCCATGTCTGTGTGTAGAAAGCACTACTGTTCCACCACCCCTGGAGGAAAGATGTTTCATCCCACGGCTCAGAGCTAGGCTGAGGCAGGGATGGGCGTCTAACTGCTGGGTAGTCACCAGCACAGGGATTGTTAACTGCTGAAAGAGGGAAAACAACCAGCCTTTAACAAACAGCATATGTCTACTCCTTTTTGGGACTTTCTGGAGGTATCATGCAATGAAAGCAGAGCTCTGGGAATACAGACAGCCCCCTCCTCTACCCTGCAGGCTTTTAGAACATGGGCGTTTAAGAACAGCAGAACAAGTGGCTGTGATGTGTGAATGTGGTGTCTATGTGTGCATATAGCTGTGTGTGTTTATAATGGGGGAGGGGGTGTGTAGATGTATGTGATGGAGTGTCTTGCCAATGGGTTTCAGCCCCGGACAAGTTCACTATGGATTTAATGAGACTGAAAAATGACAATGAAATGTCCTTGGGGTGAAAGGGCTTATACCCAACTTTATTCCCATGATGGCAGGTCAATCACTAGAATCCTGTCCACTCAGAGCAAGTCTGCATGCAGCAAGCTGGTCTCTGCCTCTGGGCTTGTCTGCCCCTGTAGCTGTCTCAGTCTCTGTTGTCAGCGTTGTCACCACTCCAGTGTCTGCTCTCCTGTAGCCTTGCAGCTCTGCCATCATGTTGCCCAGAGCACTGGGCAGATCTATTTATATAGCATCAATAATGATGTATTGCCCACACATGTGTAGTGAGTGAGCCAACCATGGCCAGGTGAGAATCCAGGCCATAGGAACCTTTTTTATCCACATGGAGGAAGACAGAATTCCTTGCATCTTAGGGCTTGCAGAATACCAAGAGATTCCAACCTCTCTTAGAAAAATTAATCATTATTTATGGGAAAAGCTAGACATTTTTAGTGATAAGTGAAACCAATCCTTTAAAAAATTCAAAATTAAATTTGTGAGGAAAGGCTGGGCTGAAATCTGGCAAACTAATTCTTTATTTTTTTATTATCAGCATTAATCTGAAATAAAGATTGATTAAGTACTTAAATGGTAACCTTGCCTTGGCCTGGCCTGTGGTTCAGTTTGCAGGGAACTCATTTTGATGAATCATTGAGTTGTGTAGAATTTATACTCCAGAAATGGGGATTAGACCTGAGAAATCCCCTGGGCACCCCGCTGAACTTCTTATAGGACTTGAATCACCGGAGCTTTCCACATTTCTTAAGGAGCGCAAGAGAAACCAAGTTCTCCTGACATCCGCCCCAGCCCCACTTTGTGTCAGGTGCTTTCCCCTGTGTTACTTTATTTAATTTGCTCAACGACCAGCTGAATGAGATATCATAGCCTCATTATACAGATGAGAAATTAAGCCCCCCACAAAAAAGTAAAGTAACTGAACTTAAGACCCTTAAGCAGTAAGTGGCCAAACTGGAATTTGACCCAGGTGTCTCTACTCTCGAGGATCTCTTCTACCCATGGGTGCCGATTGTGCCCAAACTTCAGAGCTGAAGGGCTGCTGGCAGTGTCATTCATCGTGGAGTGGGAATGTGTGTGCCCCAGTGTGTGAGGCAGGGAAGTGGGTGGCTCATGGGAATAAAGCTGTCCTGTGACTACGGAGAGCCACCAGATACGCTTGGGAACTCTTACACCTTACACTGTAACTCACTGTTGTCAGATACTTTCTGCCACAAGAAAATAGTAAGAATACTGTACAAGAATATTTCTGCTAGGAAATAGCCTGAATAAGAGGAGATACATACCAGTGAGGAAAATTAGCTCCAGGAGATGTTGGAAACAATCTGCTGAAGACCCCAGTCTAAAACACCTGGCCTGTAACTTCAAACAAGTTTCCTAGTGTTCTGTCCTTTCTCCCGCACCCCTGGTTGTACCTACCGACCAGCTGGAGGTCAGAGAGCTTGTTCTGGTCCTGAGGTAAGGCCCTTGCAGCCTGTGCAGATCAGTTTATATTTGTGGACCTTAGTTTTGTTAATCTTATGATATGATTTTTTCATTTTTCCTTTTCCCCTGAGAGAGAAGCCATGAGGAAAAATGGAATAATAAGGCAAAATCTCATTATAAAATGCCTCAGTGGTCCCCATACTGGGTTATATTCTTAGGGCAAATATTTTTTCCTCTATGCAGTGAAGTACACAGTCCCCAAGTCTTCCCAATAACAGAGAAAGTCTGTTGTAAGTAGACTTATCTTCATACTCCAAACCACTTATAATAATGGAATTTTGCTCTCTCTATGGAATTTCTTTTAGCTTTTCAGGAGAGAGATTTTGCTATTTGTTTAACCTTGTGTATTACCGTTAAACAAATAATGAAGGTTCAAATGAAAGGAAACCGGTCACAGGGTGCTCCCCTGCTCTCCCCTCCCCTCTGCCTGGTGCCCATGAGTTACTGACCATGAGGTAGGCTCACAGACGGAGCTTGTCACCATAATTCCCAAGGTAGTTCACATCAAGTGGTGCCCCCAGTTATCCTGATGAGGAGCCACTTCTTATGAGTGTTTTCAAGCATCTTTTTATTTCACATAAAGGTGGATGGGGTACTAAGGAGAGGAAATGTTCACAGAACCCTGGAGGAGGTGAATTTTCTTTACAAATATCATTTCATCTCTTGGGGAGAGAGTCACCCAATATTTATGCCAAAAATGTAGGTTGAATAGGATTTGGTTTTTTTCCCCTTCCCATAGGTGGCTCTTGCAGTGAATCAGATTAGATGTATGGAAATGCATTTTCCTGTACCTAAATGATATTTTCCTGTGTGAAAGCCAGGATCATTCACTGGCTCAAATTCAGCAGTTGTGGAATAAATTTTTAATAAGATGAATGTCACTGAAATTGAACAAATGAAAGTACACAATTCCATGAGAAAATTACTTGAAAGTTAGTCCACCCCTGGGGAAAGCTGCCCTCTTGAATCCTCACAGACTGCTGAGAGAGGCAGCTTTGTAAGGGCTGGAGGCTTGCTTTCACCCTTCCTGGGCACTTGATCTGGCCCAGGTTAGGTGGCAAAGTAAGTGGTTAATTGTGCCATAGCAGGGTTCAGAGTAAAATCACATCCGGTGGTGCCATGCAGATGCTTTATAATTTGCTGTGTGAGTAAAACATGGACGTGTGGTTTATATAGAAGCATTGTCCTTGTGTAATTTAGCCCAACATAATTTCTTTATTATGTAGCTGTAGAGCTGAAGACCATCAGCATCCTCTATTTCTAGTCTATCATTCTACTTCAATCAAAATGTAACTGCTTTAATAAACCCTTTCCCTGTTTCTCTGAAAGATCTTTCTGTCTAACCTCTTTCCTATTAGAATTTAATACTATCCTTGGTTAATATTGCAATGAGAATCAATTGAAAACCCTTATATACTTATGGCCTGTATGAGTCTGCATGTTTTGCTTTTCTCGATACTTTGCATATATTCTGAATGAGCTGTTGTTTAATTTTGTGGCTGTGTGATTTTACCTGTGTTAACCAAAATGTTGCTTTTTCAAGTGGCAGGACAGCATTACAGATGAGTCGAGATCTTTCTATTCAACTTCCACGTCCAGATCAGAATGTGGCAAGAAGTCGAAGTAAGACTTATCCTAAGAGAATAGCACAAACACAGCCAGCTGGTAAGTCACTGACGTCACCTTGCGTTTCCTTTAAGGTTTTTGGTGTAAGATAGGCTCAGGGAGTGACTGTAGCCCTGTAGATTTTTTATTGTTAGTAGTAGAAGTTTTAATTTGACCCTGAAAATGATCAAGCAATCAGAAATTATGTGTAAGTAGACTGGTAATCAACCTGAATCATCATAACCTGTCTAATGACAAACTTTTTTTGATGGGATTAAAATCTCAACTGAGCAATTTCTTAGTCTGATCTATCTGAGGTTAGAATCGAAACAAATTCTTAGAAAAAGTATTTTAAGAAAGGGACACTGTTGGAACATGATCTGGACAGCATTCAGTTGGTTTTGTTTCTGTTGGTCTTTCTTTTATTGTGAAATATACATGTAAAAAAGTACATAAAATTTACATACATAAGTACGCATAAATGTATATGTGTATATATACATATTTGCTACATATATACACATGCAGGCACACACACACACAATTAACAGAGTTCAGCCCGGAAGCCCTCTTCCTTGCCTGATCACATGTTCACTGTCTCCCTCCTCACCGTCTCCTCCCTCCTCTGACTTTGTGATAATTACTTTACTTTTCATTATAATTTTACTACTTATATGGCCTTCCTTGAACAAATTCGTTTATTTTGCCTGTTTTTAAAGTTACATGAGTGAATCATACTATGTGTTCGTCTGTGTCTTGCTTCTTTCTATTGTTAATGTAGTATATACTGAAGTACATTCATTTTTCTAGCTGTTGGATGTGTTGAATTTTACCTGTTGATGGACGTCTGTGTTATTCAGAGTTTTTTGTTTTTAATGAAGACTAGTTGAAGGAAACCACCTAGTCAATCAGTTTTAATCTGTGTTCAATGCTCAGAGCTTACAGAATTTTACTGTAAAGTGATATCACTAACTTTAGTTTGTAGCTTTCTTATAGATCAACCTCGTCTAATATGCTCCACAGACTTTTCTCATATATTGTCTCACTCAAGTGTCACCATAACTGTGTGAAACAGGGCAAGGCAAAGATTATGTTCCTGTTACACAGATGAGGATGACATGGTCCTGGCAACTGGACAGGGTGGGACTGGGGCAAGAGCCCAGGTCTCCTGGTTCTTTTTGCCATACTGTGTAAAGTAAATGGAATTCTTAATAACAGCAATTAATGGCTGAGCATTTAACAACAATTGATATAGCATTATGACATCCACTACTTCACTTAGTCCTCATGCCAAGACTATGAAGAAGTGCTTGAGTTTGTTGTTTTGCTCCTGGTTTAGAGAATGTCACCTGATTTATTGTTTATTAAGTCATATTAGATCTGACTGTAGGTCTCCTCCTTTTACTGGGCTGGGAGGAAATTAAATCCTTTCTCATGGTTCTAAAATAAGACAGGTATTATCATTATCCCTATTTGGCTCCTGAGGAAAGTAAGGTTTAAAAAGGTAATTTGGAGCCCAGAAATAAACCCACAAATATATGGTCAATTCATATATGATAAAGGAGCCATGAAAATGCAATGAGAAAAAGACAGTCTTTTCAATAACTGGTATTGAGAAAACTGGACAGTACATGCAATAGAGTAAAACTGGATTACTGTCTAACTCCATATATAAAACTAAACTTCAAATGGATTAAAGACCTACATCTGAAACATGAAACCATAAAACTCTTAGAAGAAAACATAGGCAAAAATCTCTTGAACATGAGCATGAGCATTTTATTTTGGACATGTCTCCCTGGGCAAGGGAAACAAGAGCAAAAATGAATGAGTGGGACTACAGCAAACTAGAAGCTTCTGTACAGCAAAGGACACCATCAACAGAACAAAAAGGGAATCTACATGGGAGAATATATTCATAAATGATTTATTTGGTAAGGGGTTAACATTCGAAGTATATAAAGAGCCCATATGACTCAATACCAAAAAACCAAAAAACAAATAACCTGATTAAAAAATGGTGGAGGACCTAAACAGACATTTTTCCAAAGAAATACAGACGGCCAACAGGTACATGAAAAGATGCTCCACATTGCTAATCATCAGGGAAATACAAATAAAAATCACAATGAGATCTCATCTCATACCAGTCAGAATGTCCACTGATTAAAAGATGAGAAATAACAACTGTTGGTGAAGATGGGGAGAAAAGGGAACCTTCCTACATTTTTGGTGCTGCCACTATGGAAAGCAGTATGGAGGTTCCTCAAACAACTAAGAATAGAAATACCATATGACCCAGTAATTCTACTTCTAAGAATTTACCTGACAAAAACAAAATTCCTGGTTTGAAAATATATATACATCCCTGTGTTTATTGCTGCATTATTTTCAATAGCCAAGATATGGAAGCAACTACATTTCCATCAATAGATGAATGGATAAAGACAATGTGGTACATATACACAATGGAATATTACTCAGCTATAAAAAGGAAAGAAAGCCTGTCATCTGCATGATTTGCATCCACAACATGCACAGACCTAGGGGGCATTATGCTGAGTGAAATTAGCCAGGTGGAGAAAGACAAATACCATATGATTTCACTTATTTGTGGAATCTAAAAACAAAAAACAAAATGAACAAAACAGCCATAGACTCACAGACGTTGAGAAGTGACTGGTGGTTATCATGGGGTAGGAGTTGGGATGGGTGGGTGATGAGGATAAAGGGGCACAAAATCTCAATCATCGTATAAGTTGGTCATGAGGATGGAAGAGCAGCGTAGAGAATACATGGTTGTGTAACATCTTTCTTTGTTGACAGATAGTAACCACACTAGAGGGGTTGAGAATTTAATAATGAATGTAACTGTTGAACAACTACTGGGTTAGGTTCTATACTTGAAATCAATATGATATTGTATATTACCTATGCTTCAATTTAAAAAAAAAAGGTAATTTGGCCAAGACTGCATAATCAGTAGGTGGTGAAGGACAAAAAAATCTGCCTTAATATTTCATATCTTTATCTTAATATTTTGTATTTATCTTGGTATATGAGCACTCTTAAATCCCATTTAGGTCAAGTACACTGTGGTATAATTAATAAGCAAATTTTCAAACCCTATGCTATTTCTGAACCACCATGCCTTATGAAATTATTCTGAGACCAAATTCAAAAGCATTCCTTTCTTCAAATCAACATTTCATTCCACTTGAGATGGCAGGAATCACACATGCATTTTATACAACCTGCTTAGGTTGTTCTTTTTCTTTTCCTTATATGCTCTTATGATAACATCTGCCTCTGTAACATCGTGTGTGTATATGTCTTTCTCCTTGGAAATCCAAATACTAGAAGCTGATTAATTTAGGGACAAAGGGTTGTTCCCCCCCCCCCCCTTTCTTGGCTTACAATGCAGTGACATGCAGTAGTTTTCACAGAGCAGCCTGGAGCTCATCTACACCCCCCTCCACCCCGTTCTGCTGTAGTAAGACACTTCCTTTTCCTAGGGGAGGAGGGCAAGGCGTATACACAGCCCAGGCTTCTCTGAGGACAACCTCTCAGCAGCAGAGGGATCTTTTAAGAAAGCAATATAAATTATGCTTTTATTATTAAAAAAAATACATGCTTGTCTTAGAAAATTTAGGAACCTTAGAACCTTCCCTCCAAAAAAGAAAAAAATCTTTCACAGTCAATTCCATTCTCCTAGTACTAACACTGTTTGTTATATAGCCTTCTAGTTTATGTTTTCTGCAAAAGTGATAGTTATTTTAAAACCTGATTTTCTTATTTAATTGTATATCATGGATATATTCTAATAACATTTTAGGTTTTCTTATACAGCACCATTTTTTAATATCTGTATAATTAATTGTCTGTTGCATAGATATATAGACATGACCTAATTTATTCAACCAATCTAGTTCTTGGATTTTTAAGCTGTGTCAAATTTTGAAGACTATAAAAATAACTAAAGTGAATGTAGGGTTATCTTTAAGCCTCATTCATGCTGATTTATTATATTTTAACAATGGTGTGTTTTCATCATTTTTATTCTAAAAAGAACTAAATGCTGTGTTTAAAAACTAAGACAAAAAAGTTTGCTGTGCTCACATTTCATTTTGATTTTGAATTACTTTTAGTGTGAGTTTTTGAGCCTGGGTTCCACAAAACTGTGTTTGAGGACCCAGAGATGACCCTTCCCTTGACAGTGTGATTGTTCTGGTTGGGGGTGGGGGTGTGAGTGTTGGGGGACGGACCATTTATCGAACGCCAGTGATATGGTGTCACGGATGTTACGCACATATGAACGACGTTGTGGGGGCAGAGATTGTTCTGTTTTTTTTTTTTTTATCCTCTCATTCAGATGTACTCTGCTTTGAGCCTCAGTTGAACCCAGCTGGTAGAGACCCAGTCTCAGCCATCCCCTACTTGGAAGATCATGATGAGGTTCTGACTTGAAGCAGAGTATTTGAAGGCCCTCCTATCTTCACCTATGTCTGTCCCTGCTGTGTAGCTTGTCCCAGCGCCCCAGGCCCCCCAGGCTGCAGATGGTGTGGGCAGCTCTGTGCAAAGCTGGGCTGGGATGTGCGAGAGCAGAGGGGCTGGGAGTCTTTTGTGCGGGGTCAAGCCTACCTAGAGATACCAAGCTGCTGGTCCCCCTTCAGAGTGCTGCAGCCTGGAGATGGGGGCTGCGGAGTGCCTGCAGGTCACTAGGTCACTGTGCTGCCAGGCCTCTTCCCCTCCCCACCCCACAAGCAGCTCCTCAAGCCCCGTCACTTCTTCCTCCAACACTCCCAGCTCCAGGGCCGCCCTGTTCCTCGGAAGCTCCCTGTTACTGACACTCATTCATGGGTGCCCAGGCAGGAAAGGAACAAGTGCTTTCTTTTTTTAAGAAAAAATTTTTATTTTTATTGACTAAAGGGAAACAAAAGTATTACCTTTCTTAATTATTACCCTGCTGTATTGCTTAAATCTTATTTCAAAATTTTGATGATTTAAAATGGTAGAAAGCTGGTTTCTAAGACATAAAGTTTATTAGGTTGTACTGTATT